TATATTCCCTTTCATATTATTACGTAATACATAATCAATCTAACATACCAATTTTTATTTAATATATTTTATTAAAAATCTTAAATAATATTATTAATTTATTAAAAATAATAAAGGATTAAAAAAAGTAATTTATTTAATTAAATTAATTTATATATATTAATAAAATAATTAATTTTATACCTTTTATTTAAAGGTATAATAAGTTAAAAGGTTAATAAATAAAATATAATAATTATATTAAACTGGTGCTAGTGTATCAGGTGATTTTAACCCTGATCATGTAATTATATTCTTAGTATAAATACCATTTATGGTCGCACACACCTATTTTACATAGTATCATCCACTTTTAATATAAGTCATTCTTTTTCATCAGTTTCATCATTTAAAAGTCCTTGATATCAGGTTTAATAAAGCTTAATCCAAAGCTAAAACGTTTAAGTCTTATTTAATAACAACCCCTAGTAATTTAAACCTGCAACACCAGTTTTAAAAGGATTGTTATTGTCGAAAATGCCTTATTATAGCCTGATCGAATGGCCTCTTACAGTCAATAAAGTTTACGATCTTATAGTCCATAAGGCCCACAATATATTAATTAATAGTTAATTTTACGATAGCTTTATTGATATTTTTAGCTAATAGCTTAAATATAAGTTAGATAATTTGATTAAACGATTTAAGCCTTATATCAGTTATATTAGCTAATTTAGAAATATTTTACCTATTAATCAATTTAGTTATATCTTGATATATCAGTTAATATATACAATATAATACAGCCTCATTAATAGCCTCAGCGATCACGTTACTTATTGATTAAGTCAATACGATCCCCGAGATACCGATATTCTTATACCTTAAGTCGAGATATACGAAATACGATACGATTCAAGAAGCATTATTATATTAAGATTCAGTTATAAGTTAATTTTAGGATACGTGAGGGCCATGGCGCATCTCAGCTAGTTAGATATTAGGAAATAAAAGGTAGCCTTATTGAATGCGTAAAAAGATTACGGGGATAAGGTTGGTAAAAGTACTAGCAGTTACCACGTTTAAGGTTATATTTTAAAATATTCAAAAACAGTATATAATGTTTTTTGGGTTATATTATACCCAATATACGAAACGATTAATTATAAAAAGTTAGTAATAAGGGAGACAAACCAGCCAATTAGTCAATAAATTACCAAGTTTATTATAAAGGAAGTAAGAGCTTAATCAATATTAAGGCTTATTTAAATTAGTATTAAGATATTAAAGGAGGTAAATAACCTAGTTACAAGGGTTATTTACGAAGGTTATACAATATTGGGATAAAAAAGGGAATAAAATCAGTTAAGTTTATTGTAAAGGAAATAAAACCGTACAACAATCTTTATACCATAATCTTTATATATATTTAATTCAATAGCAAATATTACGATTAAACCCGTTACTATACAATTTTATATAACCAAAGGATATAATTCAATAATATAAAATATTTAATTAATAAATCTTAGTTAAGTTGGTTAAATTACACGGCATATAAATTCATTTAAAATATAATTTAAAACTTGATAATATCTAAGATATTAAAAAGGCTATACCACAAGGTTAATAATTAATAACCCTAATAGCTTAAGTAATACGAAATTTTTTTTTTAAAGCCTAGGATTTAATTCCTATTCGTATTATTTTATTTCTTTTTTTCAAGTCTTAACCCTTATTTCGTAAATTAAATTTAATTTCGTAGCCTCGATAAAATTTAAAAAGAGGTTATAAACTAATGCTAATATATTAAGTAACCTTAACCCTAATTATATAATTATATTTTTAATATAAGTACTATTTATAGTCGCATACACCCATTTTACATAGTATTATTTACTTTTAATATAAGTCATTCTTTTTCATCAGTTTCATCATTTAAAAGTCCTTGATATCAGGTCTAATAAGGCTTGATCCAAGGCCAAGACGTTTAAGTCTTGTTTAATATTTGTTATAAAAGTTAAATTATTAACTTTATTATAAATAATAAAAAAAGTTATATTTGTTATAAAATTAATTAATAAAAATATTAAAAAATTAAAAACTAAATTAAAATATATAAATATATATAATCATTAACTACGTTAAAAGGTTTAATAAAGTTATATTAAAGTAAATTATATTATTTTAAAAAATATAATCGTAAATAAACTTATTAAAACCTTTATAAAAAATTTATATAAATAATTTAAAATTTAATTAACCTTCATAAATATTAAAGACCTTTTATAAATAAAACGGTTATAAAAATTAAATAATAAAATAATTATAAAATAAAAAATATATATTAACGGCGATTAAAAGTAATTAAAGGTTTTTTTCAAGTTAAAATCAAGTTGTTAATAATTTAAATAATAAAAGGATATTAATATATTTTAAACCAAATTAATTTATTAATTATATTTAAAAAGGTATATTAAATTAATCAATTATGTTAAGTAATTTAAAAATCTTTAATCTTACATAAAATAACGGTACAACACGCGTTCTTACAATTTTACTTTAATAAATTAAATTATCAAAAATATTATTAATTAAACTTTATATATTACTTATTTAATATGTATTAATTGTATAACAATTTTTAAGTTACTTGATATAACTAACTAATTTAATAAAATATAAACTAAGTTAATAATACCGCCGGGTATGTTGTAAGTCTTAATATATTTAACCTAACTTATATCGAGTCAAGTATATACGATTATCTGATCTGCCTTAACTTGTGGAACTAGCTGTCCAAGATGGACATTGGCACCTATAGACTACTGAGATCTAAATGGCCGATAGAAATAACGGGACGAGGCTTAGAAAGAAGACCAGCTTCCGCCCTTTTCTATCCGACAGCCACCCAAAGGGAACCGCGAGGAGAAGCCTTGGAGAGATTGTGGTTAGCGATTGGCAACTTGTACGCATTTAAACAATATGATCACCGATAAATATGCAGTTGGGAAAATGACGAGGCCCTCGGTACAAAACTAGTAGTACCGTTAGTCTTCGGAGAAAAGAAACACCTGGCATTGTCTCAAAAAATATAAGCCAACTCCTGACATGCGCAAGCCGTGTTTGGACATCGTCCGTTTCAATGCAGATTCGCTCGTCGACGTGCCCATCGTTTGAAACTCTAGACGGGTCATGCACCAGGAAATATGCTCGACAAACTGACAGCTCCTCCATTCTCACAAACATAGGTCCCATCCCAACAATAATAATATCTATTAAAGCGAACGCTACGACCGAAAAGGCAATGATCGTTCGGGATTAACAATCTTGTGTCTCTTTTCCTGTATATAACAACGGGGTCCGATTAGGATCCAGGCCGGTACCTGGCAAGCGACTATAATTCTCCAAATTCCTCCGCGCGAAAAGGATTCTCTGTAGGTTGGAAAGTCGCCGTAGCAATTTCTGCACGAGTGAGGTACTGGCGTGGCTTCTTTTGTTGGGGTCCTTGTGGAATCTGTCTCACCACGTTACAAACCAAAAGGGCGTGAAATATTGGATTCTGCATACAAAGCTGGGCTCGAAGACCAGCCATCGGGTGAGCGCTGGTCTGGTCTACCAAGCGGTTGCTCTCAGGACAGCATATTGAAAAGATATACCGATGGATTAGGTATCTAAGTAGATATCGGCTATTCAGAACTAGCTACTCGGAGCCTCGCACAGTACGGTTAGAAGACAGGGTAAGTGTTACACTAACATCGGGATTGATATTTTTTAAAAGCATCAAGCTTCCCCGTTCTTATTTTAATGGTATCTCCGCGGGACATTACCTCATCAATCGTATTGGTTTAAACGATACCTACTAACAGAGGCTGTTGCTCGGTTTTACTTCACAAGTCACCGAAACCCCGGATCAAAACCCTTGAACAGCTGAATCGATATACCATGACGATGAGTCGGTTATGTGTAAATTGAATGGGAACTAAGTTGCTCTTTAAGGTGGGGAAAGGTGTCAAGCTACGGTACCACAAGACAGAACATATAATATAATACATTCAACTGTAATAAGTATATACGGTATAGAACATATCATTACATATTATTACATAGGCACCTAGTCATACCCTATGTCAGCTTATGCCGAAGCTACTTTATTTTCCAGATCCCGTGATGTATTCGGAAGCATTCGTTATCATGTCAGCATTTCATGCCGGAAGTCTTCGCCTCTCTTTCAGACGCCATGTTTCAAACCCAACAGCAACCGGCCTGCAGGTACTTTTTCTGTCCCACCGGCTTATATGTTTGCTTATACAAATCTCCTAGAAGATTACATATGCCCGAGTTTACGAGGGATATTGTCTTGCTAACCTCGATTTCCTCTTTCGGACAAGCTCCATCGAAAAAGGAAGTTCGTCTGTGCGCGATTTTCAAGCCTTTTTATTGGGTGCATCCCTAGGCTCTCACGTGTTTTTCCAAGTCTCCACTTTCATCTTTTCTCGAAATACGTATCTTTTTTACTTGACTTTTAGCCCACCCCGGCCAGCCACGGTTACCAATACAATTAATAAAAGCCTAAATTCGAGGCCTACACGTTTTTTTTATATATTTTATATATATATTTAAAAAAGTCTATTCAAAGTTAATATTTAAGTTGAAGGTTTCCAGCAGTAGCAACACGTGATCTACGTATATAAATCGACTTATAACCTAATATAGCTTCCAGATTCGACGTGTCCTCAAGCTATTGCCATACAATTTACCCTTACGAGAGCAACGAGTTATCGCTGCCCCGTTAGCATCGGTTTATTTTTATGAATTTTGAGGCCTAGGTAACTCTACAAATCAGCCATGTCATCAAGCGAAGAGGGACAAGATACTGAAGATAGGCTGGGAGCAGAGGCATACCTTCGTCCGTTAATCACGTCTTTCATCTCAAACATCGGGTACACAACGGCACCAGTGATCAGCGATGGAACATATTGGTCAGCTCTACATCAACACGCAATCAACACTGGTATTCCTCATCCTGAGGGGTCACACTCCTTTAAGTGCTTAAAAGTAGGGGGGAATTATGCGATTGTATTGTCACTGGGTATCTTCTTATAAGTATATGTCGGTATCTATACCTGGCTTGCCGTTGTCATTGACGATGTAGCATGTCGGTCTTTGGAAGATTTCGAGCCCTTTCACGAACGCTTCGCTAGCGGAAAGCCTCAACCGACGGTTTTTCTCGAAGCTTGGGCAGGTATAATTCAGTCGGCTTTTGATTACTGGGACCCTATGGTAGCCAACTTTATCGTCGCCGCATCCCTTGACCTTCACAACGCGTGCGTCTTAGAGGCGCGTTCCGAACTCCGACGCCTAGTACGAACTAAAGGGGGTCAGAGTTTGGCCTGGTACATGCGTAGCAAGTCCGGCCTTGCGGATGCCTATGCGTACTTTACATTTCCCAAGGCCGTGTATCCTGATATATCATGTTTCCTAGAAGCGATTCCGGACATGTCTGCTTATTTCTGCCTTGCCAATGATGTGTTGTCGTGAGTACAAAAGGACTTTCCCACGGGGATCCTACTAATAGCGACGTGCCAGGTTCTATAAAGAAGAGAAAGCAAAAGAAAAGGACAACTACATCAACTACAGAGCTTATTACGAAGGAAACGATCCCCGAACGGTACTAGGAGAGGTAATTGGGCAGACACAAAATGCCGTCAAGCGTATGCGAGTTGTAGTTAAGGGGCGAGAGCCGTATGAGCAGGCTTTGAACAACCACATCCTAGGTTATGTAGCGTTTCATACTCTGAGCGATCGCTACATGTTGTCAGAGATTGGCTTGGGAGAGGATGCATTCAGTGTGGTTAATGGTAAGGTTCTTTAGTTCGAGATGTAGGCAAGCGACATGTGTATATAGTACCTAATAAATACTGTCGTCGAAGGATATTCGTGGGTTATCAACTATCCTTAAAACCTTTCAACCTGCCTTTTATCATGTTGAAAATATCTATAATGCCCTTTTTAAAATTGATAAATCGGTATTATCATCTAGCTTCACTATCAGTTCTTACCGCGGTCCCTTGATTATATTCAATTATTGGCCTGAGTAAGTGGTGATGACACTGCTTCTAAACTCCAGATCACGGTAGGTTATGTTATTCGTTGATCTATCTTAGATGACGAGTCGATGGAGCCGAGACTGCCCCGCAGACGTCTTTTCTTTACGAACGAATGAGCTACGGAACATTGCTTCTCACAAAAATGAGGTAAGCTATCAAACTGACCATACCTCCTTTCTTAGTTTTACAGTAAATATTCGTGATACCCGTGACACCCAGCTATTTCTCGTACTGTCGACACCCAATTCTGCTGGGTTGTCTTTCGTACCGAGAGGGCTTCCAGAGCCTAGTTCCGGCACTGGTCCGTCTGTACCTAACTCGGCACCTGGATATCTAGGCGGTCGTATGGTAGTCTGTTGCGAGGGCAATCCGTTCTTCCGTTTCGCAAAACTTCGACTTACTAGAGTACCGACGTCAAAAGGGATGAACCTCTCTATTTTACCCGCTCGATACCGGCGGTAGCGACGAAATATTATCGTTGCGAAGTACCCTAGTATAATACCGATTAAAATTCCAGATAATGTCATAGCTACCATATTAATGCTCGAGGTAGCGCTGTCAGAAGCATTTCCATCGGCCCCGCTCCGATCCGTAGTGCCTCCGTTATCCGTGGCTGGCGTGCCGCCAAGCTGGATAGACGATGTTGTAATTGACTTGCTTGTGAGCGGAGACGATGATAAACTTGCCGATTCTTCCTTTCCAGTTGTGGTTGGAGTCGGTTCAGAAGTTATTGACAATTCGCTGATTTCGATCTCCGTCGTCGGGGTGAGTGACGTTCTTTGCAGGGCCGTCGATGATACTTGAGCTGGCGGCGTCTCTGAAGTAGATGTAGTGGCTTCAGGCAAAGCGAAGCTGGCAGGCGTCGGCGTAAAAATACCAGTTGGGGTTGTAACCAAACCACGAGTTAAAGGATCCGTAGCGAGGTGGCTTAGGTCTTCTTCCCGCCAGCGGATCTGGAGTGCTGGTCCCACGGTGGCCGGAGAACCATTCGCTGATGTTGTACGCATAAAGCCCCAAACGCCCCCGCGGAAGTCTGTGATATCTGATGTGCAAGTAAAGCCGCTAGAAATCCCACGTCTAAATTAGTCAAGCTATTTCGGATCCCCGACGTCATTCGGACTTGCCTTGGAATGCAGTACATAGCTGTTTCTCCAGCTGTGATAGCGGGAAAGCCTTCTCCCGATCGATCATTGCTTGCGGTGCAACCTACGACAAATCCACTTGGGCAGATAGCGGGCGAATAGTACCCGAATCCTTTCTGTGCAATATTATCTGCCCAGGACGGGGGGTCACAAGAGGTAGGTCCGGTCGTAGGGAACGGCGGATATTGCGATGGGACTTTCGTAGTAGTTATCAGCCACGTCACTGGGCAAGGTGGACTGAATATAGTAGTAAGCTCGGAGAGGCGATTGCCAAATGCTGCCCGCCGCGCGGGAGTTGCTTTTGTCCGGGCCATAGGCAAGATGCGGGAGAAGACGGAAACGAAGTACGCCTCTTGTGTCGAAGGCTAGCTCCTCGCGCCCGCCGGTGGCACTACGCAAATAAGTGAGTCGTAAATCGACGATGAAGCTTTTCGTTTGATCCGGGGCATATTTTCGGATAACTCCTCTACTTCATGAATCTTCAGTTTGCAGCTCGCCTTAATATTATGCGGCTGAATATCTTCTTCGGTCACAGTCCTCTCCGGTCTCTACCCCGGCCGCCAACATTTTAATTCACGAGGCCCAGGATCAATCAGCCGTGCTCTCGCTATTGGATCATATTTGGTAAGGATACTTGCCAAGGACCTAGATTGCCATACAAATGCTGCTCTAAAACATCATCAAAACGTGTTACCACCCCGCGTCAGACACCTGGAACCCCCCCTGCATACAGTTTCACTTTGTCACGTTCAACAACCACCTTTCCCAGAAACTAGCTAGCTTTAGCCAATTAACTTGTCCTTCATCCTACACTCAACCCCTCAATTCTTCTATGTTGGTAGCAAGCACGGCGCCTACCGTGGGGAACATACTAGAACATGAATACTGCCTTGCCATCCGCTTTGTCCAGTGGTTTAATACGCACAGGGCCTAGCATATACCGCAGCTCCCAAGATAAGAATCGCGTTTCTAATGGGACCTCGCCCCGAAACCCCTCGAATCTTGTGTCTGGATCTTGTCAATTCCGTTTAAAGTATTCGAGGTTGTGGTATTAGCAAGGACGTCTCTTTGGTTAAATTGGTTGGAAGATCTAGGTTAGTTTTATTCTACAACTACCATAATGGAACTCCCAGAAGCTGACGTCTGTCTAGGAGGTGTATATTATAGTTGCACATGAGCGGACGGGCTATCGTCCTTTTCTGTAGTGCGCAATAATAACTATACCGCAACGATTATAAACCCCACAAGCTCAAGACTGATCGTTGTGCGATCATGATTAGAATTCAACTCTTATAGTTTTCTAGTTATCTCAATGATGGAGTGGATATTAGAGCGACTGAATATTGATAGACTTGACGCCAACCCGATCAGAACCCTGGACATTTTTATATCTAGGATAGTAACTCGGGTAAGTGACATAGGGATCAAGTTTACCTTATAGCTAAATTAACTATCAGTCTATTTTAATATAAGAGAGACTATAGCTACCTATAAAGATACGCTACTAGTTTAATTTGTCGGCTGTTCCTTATTTATGACGATGGTCCTAATCATATCGAACCTCGGTGTCGGGTGGAATCAACGCAGTATCGTGTTCTTCGCAATCCGGTTGTATCTCCAGGTTTATTGAGAAATTGTGACTGGCAATTCCTTCGGCAGCGCATAATAGCGAATCTTCGAAGAGATCCCGGGACGTCATTTCCCTATTTTCATCGTTGATGTCGACGGTGCTGCCGAAACTGCTATGGCTCTTATTTCGTGGGTGGGGGAACAAGATAGAACGCTGTTATAGCTTAATATAACTTGTGCCCCTTTGCCTCATAGTTATGCGAACTTATAAATGGAAGAGGATGGCCCTTCGCGAGTGAGAGTTCTTACTGAGAAGCTTGAGGCATGATCGAACTTGGAGGCACAACCTAGGACGGGAGTGAAGGGCGCCGTCACACCAATACCGAAGCCATTACCTTGAATAATACCGTGATTATTTATAATTCCTTTGCTACATGACTTTATTTTACGCCAGCCGCATGGCTATGGAAAGATAATAACGATGATAACGTTTACGTCTATTAGGGCTGTAGCTACCTATGGAAAGAAAATGGGTATGGTAGGAAAGTAACAGCTTCAAATAGTATGTACGATGTGCAACAGTCTAGGTTAAACACTTGTCGTTGGTTTCTTAGATCTCCTCAGCGGATACTTAGGTACCCATGCTGTAGGTATGGAAAGGATGTCTAATCCACTGTAGTTGGGCGAGTCCTCTACGACTGAATAGTGGTGGTCAAACACTCATAGTTAGGTATAGTTATAGTAACATAAGGACCTTAGTAAATTAAAGCGACATCAAATTTTCCTTAGCCAGATATTGACTTTTATCACCATACTCAAATGTCAATCAGGTCCCATATGCTAAAATGTGCACAATGTTTGAATATTACAAGAAACAAGAAAACATAACATTCTCACAGTGCCGACCTGCGTACAGGTACACATCACAAATGATTTGGTAGCCGGGCTATCACGCATCATAGGTAACGGCTTTTACGTCTTAAGGTCACCTCGTTATGGTAGTAGGTACCTAGGCATTGAATATAACTACTAACGAGATATAGACCCTTTGGATATTACTGTCGGTCGATCGATTACAGTTGTTGTATTAATTACAAGAGAAAAAGCCGTGCTGCTCCGAGTCCCTTCTTCCTTTCGTGCTTTGCAATATCTACTACGCCAGTGTTCAACCGAGACCAGTCACCATGTAGTTCGCCAGCTGCAAAAACTAACAACGAAGGCAATGTTGCATTACGACCATATCTTTGTTGTCTACTCTGGGCTTACTGCCACATATGCTCCCCAGTTCCAAGCAAGATAGTACGATAATACCCTGTCCCAATGGTATTCTCACACGTCTACCTAATGACTATAAGATGACCAGCAAACATCATCTCAAGTTACTTGTCTACTTGTGACCCAAAATGGTCTAATATGCTCCTCTCTCGAATTCTGCTCACGAGGCGGCAAGGTTTAGAAGGCGTTGTGCTAAAATTGCTCGGGTGCTCATTTTAGTCGGGATAGGAGTATGCGTGGCTTCCTATAGCGACACCTTGGTAGAGTTCGTCGAAGCATCCGGGCTATCTCGGCTCGAGGCGGTTGAAGGTCTTCCACGAAGCGCGCCACCCTACTCGGCGTTTCTCTCCGGCCCCCCGCCTGCACCTCCGCGCCAGAGCCCGTAGAACCCTTCGCAGTTCTTCCACATCTTGATTGTTCCGTCTTCCGAGCCGGTGGCGTAGAGCTTGCCGTCCGGAGAGAAGGCCACCGACCACACAGGTCCGTGGTGGCCCTTGTGGATGTCTGTCCGAAGCCGTTAGTACAACGTGGAGAATTAGACCCGAAATTAGCACGAACCTATCTCTGTGTCGTCGTCCCATCTGTAGACTCTTGCCCACGTTGCCGGAATATCTTCGCCGACGACGATCTTCCTTCCCTTAGGGTCCAGAGCGACGCTGGCTACCTTATAATTCATCTTGGTGCGCTTCAGCTCGTCCATGGCGCGAAAGCCTCCCCAGAAATAAATAGATTTCCCAGCAGCTACCGCGAGGACTGGTAACCCCTCGCCGATGTCCGTCTTGGACGTAAATTCTGGAGCCAGGGCGCAAAACTCGCAGGAACCAATTTCTCCGTCCAAGACTTCCTGCTTCACCACGCTCCTAGTAGGCAAGTCAAACCAGCGGAGTGTGTTGTCAGAAGCGGTGATGAGGATATTCGGATCTCTAGTCCAAACTATGAATTTGATAGAGGCGGTGTGGATACCAGCCCCTATCTCGAAAGCCGAGGAGGCTTGAATGGTGGACGGTACGATAGCAGGCTCGGGATTGTTTCCATTCGCACCGGCCTCGGGCGCAGACCTGGGCTTCATCTCTGTCAAGTCGAAAATGCGCAGCTTCTTTTCCATCCCGCCGGTGGCAACGAGGTCGGAATTGTCGGGTGGGTAGGCAACGGCTCGTACGATATGGTCGTGTTGAAGAGTATACAGGAGTTCGCCGGTATGTGTATCCCAAATTTTTCTGTTCAGGGGGGTTAGCAAAGGGCAAAGGAGACTTGCTGACGTCGCGTCACGTCAAAATTAGAACGGTAGAACTTACGCAGTGAAGTCTGCGGAAGCAGTTGCAGCAGTTGCGGCATCAGGACTAAGCCTGGCTTGCCAGACGGCACCTTTATGGCCTATGAATGTACCAATCCAGTCACCGGTCTGGCCGTCACGAAGCATAGGGTTACCGTCTGTAACGCGTTAGGCATGGACTGACACGAGTTGTACGGAGCGAGTGGCCCGAGTACGCACCTTTACAAGCCGAGATCAGGTAGTAAACATCATCCTTCTCTAAAGGTGAGAAACTGATGTGCGGAACAGGACGGGAATGCCCATGGCAAGTCAGAGGGACGTATTGTCGCGGCGCCTCCGGGGTGGCCATTGCTAGAACAGAACGATATGAGATAGATTTGTTAAGAGGAATCTTTAGAGTTGAGAAGCCAAGCCAGAGGCCAAATCCCTGGGTAGATTGGATGAGAATGTCAGAACAGGTTATCCTGTAGCAGAGATCCCAACTCGAGTCTGGCGTGAGCTTCGAACAAGAATCGGAGCACCGTTCAGGGAGTAAAGACGGGCACACCGTAAAAGGTGTGAAAATGCCTGTCGGGGATGGATTATAATTGCTGCAAAATAGATGGAGAACGATAGAGGATAGAGAAGAAGATGCTCGTGACTAGTCGTGACGGGTCGTAAGATTGATATCGCAAAAGGGTGACAGAAGTAGAATCGCATTCATTAATAAAAGGACAGGAGCATGTGGTATTTGGATCGGCGCAAGTCGGGTTTTGGATGCCTTTGAGCCCTCCAACTGTCTCCAAAGTAAACAGAAGAGCAGGAAAATGAGAGTCCAAAGAACAAGACAATCGAAGTGTAAGATCCCAATCGATAATGAGCGACAGGGGGAAAAGAAGTGTTGAGCGCAAAGGTATGAAAGAGAAGGGAAAAAAATCAGTCGTCAAGGCTGTTGGAGATTTGGGATAGGTAGAAATTCAATTGACGAGCCTCATTTGAGACAGCCCTGACAGCCCTGGAGGTTCGGCAGAGGTACCTGGGTACATGGATCATGAGCTACATGTAACCTAGTATAGTGTAAAGATTACATAAGGTGGGGCAGAGATACGGGGTACCTATCAATTAGGTACCTACCCCACTTGCCTCATGCTCTCAAGCCCAGCAGCTTCAGCTTGCAACTGCACTGATGTGACTTGCGACAAGGCGTAGCTCTTAGTAGAAATCGCCCTATCGCATTAGATAATCTCTCCAACTTCACCATTTCTCCCCAACTTCGTCATTCGTGTTTGACTCCCACGCTGCCCACCTCCCAAATTAGTCTCCCTTAACAACATCCCGAATATTAGAATACACAACTGAACCCGAAGTATCGACGGAAACAGCCTGGTTACGCTATGGCCGACTTCAAGCTGTCCGCGCAGCTTGTCGGTCATGATGCTGATGTATGCGCTCCCTCCAAAAAAAATTTTCAAATCTGTCGTAGTCTTCTAACCAATGAATACGATTACTCTAGGTTCGACATGTCTGCTTCCCCTCCCCCGAACTTATTTTCTCCGCCGCCAGGGACTGTACCGTGCGTGCGTGGAAACGCACCGGTACGTCGCCTCCTGCGTTCGAACCCTCCATAACCACCCAAGGATCAGAGTTCTACAATAGCTTAACCTATTTACCTCCCTCGTCCGACCACCCCGACGGTTTGGTCGTGTCCGCCGGCACCGATACTATCATTGATGTCAGAAGGGCCACCTCGACGGCCTCGGATAACGCTGAACGTCTCCTTATCGGCCACGCTCGGAACGTTTGTGCCTTAGCCGTTGTTCCCGGTGGTCGGTATATCGTGTCGGGCAGTTGGGATAAGACTGCGAGAATATGGAGTGTGAATAAATGGGAGACGGAAGCTATCCTGGCTGGACACGAGGAGGCTGTTTGGGATGTCCTTCCCCTAGACGACACTACCGTCGTGACGGCTTCTGCTGACAAGAACATTCGCATCTACGACCTCAGGACTGTTGTAGCCGGCCAGGTCGAGCCTCGATCCACTATCTACACCTCTGACGTCATCCGAGCTCTATGTCGAGTTCCCAGCGGCCATCCGAGCGGCGCCGATTTTGCTAGTGCCAGCAACGATGGGGTAATCCGCCTGTGGAAGCTGAGTGGCCAGAAGGTTGGAGAGCTCCATGGCCATGAAAGCTTCATATATTCCCTCGACACGCTGCCCTCTGGCGAGCTAGTCAGTTCGGGAGAAGATCGAACGGTCCGCATATGGAGGGGTACAGAGTGTGTCCAGACCATTACTCATCCTGCCATCTCGGTCTGGACTGTGTCGGTGTGTTCGGTAGATGGAGACATCGTGACGGGTGCCAGCGACGGCGTCATCCGTGTGTTTTCCCGTGACCCAGAGCGCCTAGCCAGCCCTGACACTCTCGCGCACTTTAACGAATCCGTCAAGAGTTCGTCGATACCACAGCAGCAAGTCGGTGGGATAAACAAGGAGAAGCTTCCAGGGCCCGAATTTCTAAAGAACAAATCAGGTACCAAGGAAGGACAAGTGCAGATGATAAGAGAGGAAAATGGTTCCGTGACGGCTCACCAATGGTCGATGAGCCAACAGCAGTGGGTCAATATCGGTACCGTGGTCGACGCAGTAGGCAGCAGTGGGCGCAAGGTTGAGTATAACGGCCAGTCTTATGACTACGTCTTCGACGTCGCCATCGAAGAGGGTCAGCCTTCCCTAAAACTACCATACAATCTATCCGAAAATCCCTACACGCGAGCCCAGAACTTTATTGACGACAATGAGCTGTCGCAAAACTTCTTAGATCAGGTCGCGCAGTTCATCATCACAAACACGCAAGGGGCTACAATTGGACAAGACTCTGGGGGTTCAGGGGGAGCAGATCCACACGGGACGGAGTCGCGGTATCGGCCGGGTGATGACCCTAGCTCTTCTAGGGCCCGATCTCTACCGCAGCGCGAGTATCTCGATATCACGGCTGCAAAATACGAACGTAAGTAACCTAATAAATCTTGCGACATTTGCTATGGGGCTTAGCTCTAACCATCTAATCATTTAGCCATATTTAAGAAGATTCTCAGTGTCAGCTCTTCTCTCGAAGCCGCGGGGCGCAAAGACCATTCTCTAAATCCACCAGCGCAGGAAGTATTATTTGGGTTAAGGCAGAGACTGGAAGCGAACCAACCAGTGGTAGATAGCGCCTCTATTGGCTTGGTCGTAATGATGTGTACGCAATGGGACTACTCGGATAGGCTGGCCCCTCTCGACCTTTTCAGATGCACCGCAACATCGTCCGCCGTAGCCAAGTTCAGATCGGTCAACCTTGGCAGTCCGGTACAGATAGCCATCTCCGCCGCGCTCGAAGGCATCCCGCCTGGCGCACAACCTAACGAAAACTGTGCTATGATGGCGGCCCGAACGATTGCCAATCTTTTCAAATCAACCGAAGGGCGAAGATTGCTCGCACAACATTCGGAAAGCCTCCAAATTGCATCATTCGTCGACCGGGTATTAGGTATCGGTGGCCAACCTGCGATCGGCCCGTACAACCGTAACCTATTAATCGCCTTGACGACGACCATTGTGAATCTCGCCGTTCTCGCATCGAGAGAACCGGGAAGCATCTCGGCTAACGTTCAGGTCCGCCTGCTAACTGCGCTTGCTCGGATCCTTCAAACGCAGACGGAAGGAGAAGTTATATTCCGAGCGTTAGTGGCTGCAGGTACCCTTATTACCGTGATTGGTAAGACTGCTCCTGAGGCGAAGAGCCTATCATCGCCCATAGCGTCGAGTAAAGAGCGTATCTCAGAACCGCGTGTGAAAGAGCTGGCCGATGAGTGCCTATCGCTACTAAGATAACCGCAATCGAAGATAATAATATTAACTTAGGCAGAACGTCCGCCTTGCGAATAGCCATCCTCGCCAAGCCTTTTAATATCTTCCCAACTGGTTGTTTACATTGATGTCAATCCTCTTCTACATTATCAGGAGCCGGTGTTGAGCATCTCGCAGCAATAATCCCTTGAGGAATGGGTATGGTTTTATTGCATTCGGCGCCATCAGAATTACTCCAATAGACAGGCTCATACCATGTGAAATTTTAAGAGGAATTAGCTGCAGTAATATAGACGGCCTCTAAGTTCCGTCTAAGTTACAGGATTATGATAGTTCGTTCAATTACATGAGTTCTCACCACATATATAAGGTGTGTTATAAGACTATTCTAGAAAACTTCAAGAACTACCTTAATACATCTTGATAACCCTTCAGAAGAATACGAACTTTGGTGTACTTATACCGATTACACCTAACCCCTTTTACTGTTTTAGATGCATTTAAATCTAGTACAGCCCTTGAAGAAACACCAGTATCAAACGACTCACCCAGGGTTGATAAATTGCAGTTTCAGGACTTTCTCCTGGTTTCTGCCTAGTCGGCTGCTCTGGCGTGTCTCGTTCCCAGTGTAAGCTAAAACACGTTCCTAACCGCCAGGTTTGAATTATACCTATGATATGCGGCGTCGCGACGGTTAAGGTATGTAGCACGTATCAATTATCCATACCCTTCCCCTTTTCATGTCTCAATTCCATCTACGCAACCAGATGCACTTAAGGAATAAGAGCGGGGTCCTTGTAAGAATCCGATTCACTTAAAGGGGTATCTATTGATCATTGAGACGATGTAAAGATCTATAAAATCTGCGTCATGAGATGATAAATGGTATAGTGGGATAAAAGTTTTAATCCTGTCTCCCGAAAATTATAAGGCCCGGTCAGCATGAAAAATCGCTCACCAGTACCCAAAAATGCCCAACCGCCCACCTTATACGCCAGTCCTCAATGCCACATGGTATATACAGATACAAGGTGTTACAATCCAAAAAGAAAAGTGGATCACCTGCCTTATTCATTTTCCTTCGTTGTCGTAAATCTCCGCGCTCCCTAGAACCTACAGTAAAAACCCCAGAGCACACATGAATATCGGGAAGTAGCCTAGCCAGCTCCACGTTGCAGGACCGTGGTTCCAAAGACCAGAGGCGCTGCTAGCACTCACGTTCGCCGCCGAGCCCATCTCCTGCGTCGTAACGGTGTATATCTCAGCAAATCCGAGGTCTGTACTGTTAAAACAGTTAGACCCGTTAACTTTAGCGATCCTCTCGTCTCCGGGTTCAGCAAATGTAATATCCGAACACTAGTATAATACGATTAGTCTTTGAATCATCATAACCGTCAGTGACATCGTAACCTACCGAAAACAGAGCAGCCCCATGCTGCGCTATCTCGACAACTTGTATAGTCGCGTTGTCCCCGGCGTTGAAGCTCATGTTCGCGGGGAGGGGCACCTGGGGCAGACAAACCGTCCCAGGATACGGACCTTTCGAGGGACCGAGAAGTTGGAAAGGAGCGATCATGGGGAACGACATATTTAGTGGCCCATGGTCGGGTCCGTCCGTGCCGAATCCGAGATTGATGTAGAGGAATGCCGTCTGATGACCTTGAAACCAGCCCGGTTGAAACGCAACGGCACCACCCGTGGTTGGCCAGTACGACCTATTCGTCGTTAAAGGTATACCACCGCCTGTATTAAATGCATTAGATCGAGTTGATCCATACCGGGATTGATAACAGCACATATCAAGAGAACTAAGGCAAGCTAGATAGGTTCACTCACATGGATAAGTCCATTGCATGCCGTAAGGAAATGTGGCGTTCTCGATGAGATTATCTCCCCGCCATCCGGGATAGGTAATGACTGTATGAGCCGTTGCTATGGTCGAGGCGACCACAGCTAGTAGTATTGAGGACAGCATTGTGCGTTAGGGAGTGCCGTTGTTGTTTTTCCCCCGTCTTTCGGACCCGTCAACAGAAGCGGTCTGATGAACCGGTGTATGATCAATCCTGTCGCACAGCGATCAGCCGGCAATTTAGAATGCGGTTCCCAAACTCTCCCGCGGAGCCGATTGCGAAGATGGTCGAATGTGAATGTTGCCCCCGTCTACTAGTATACGCGACCGAAAGGACACCCCAGATATTACTCTGCAGTATGCGTGTGTCCGTTTAAAAGTGCTAGGACATCGGCGTCGGTGATGGAAGCGATGAGGAAAAGGATCGGGGAAGGATGGTAGGGCAGAAGGTGCTCATTATTACTGACGGGTGGGCGCAATAATTACGACGCCATCCGTGTCTGCTCGAAGCACCTGCATTGCCTAGCCAATACCATCGATGGCTCCCCGCCCCAAGAGATCAAGGGTCGAAAGAAACGGGCGCCATTTTGGGACAAACGGTCCAGTTAGAAGGGCAGAATAATGTGCACGACGTGCAGCCGAAGCCTGTCCCTTGTCAACCGATCGGGCATAGCCAATAAGATATCGTTGATGATACTTGGGCGAGTCGCTTGTTCAACGTATGGACGAAGGTGATTTGTTCAAAAGTAGCCAATGATATTGATCGACGGTAGGGGAGCTCTGGGATCACAGCAGCCCTCGCTGATATACTTGAACATAACCCCCGAAAAGGATATGGCTGGTGACAATAAACAGCGCCGGCACTACTTAAGACAGGGGTTAGGCAAAGCTCCCCAGGGCAAACAACCAATGATGATAGCCAGCATTAAGCGCCGACGAAAAAGCCCCCCCCTCGGGAAGCCCCAATCTCTTTCCATCTTAACGTGGACCCCAACCCATCCTAACGCTCTTCTTGCAAGGCTGGGGGCTATTTTTGGCCGAATATGAGCGACCGGTATCACCCTGCCACCACGATTCGTTTCTAACCAAAAAAAATCACCTTGCCATACCTTAGGAGGCAGATATATTTACATAAGACCGGGCAATACCAATTTCATGTCCTTTCCACTTCAATACTACCTAGCCTTGGGATGCTTTGCAAGGCGATATCATGACGATGACGATGACGGCGAGAATATTCAGTACATTAGGTAACCCAGACGGAAGAATTATTAACAAGCAAAGAGACATAGTCTTGGCGGGGGGGGGGGGGGGGGGGGGGGGGGCGGGGGGC